GTTCTCTATTCATAACAATTGCAGATAATGTACTCATGACGATTGGTCACTTATATACAGAGGAAATTTTAATTTATTTCTTCTATCTGTTCGGTTGTTTTATGCTGCTAATACGAACGGCTGCTCGTCTAATTGACAACAATGTATTTTTTGTAAAATGATTTACATATCGTCATCTTTTCATCACATGCATATATTGGGGTGATTGAAATTTCTCTTCTTATAAACTACTCACTTTAACTTATTGTCATAATGGCATCACCTAACTCTTCTATTTCTCATTCGTCAATCCAAATTTCATCTTCAAAACCTGCCATCAGTTCGACTTCAAATTACACTTCGAAATCCATTAAATTATTATTGATAAATGATAGTGCAAATTATAAAGTTATACCAAATCAAAGTAAACGTGTCTCAGCGGTGTGTTGGAAGAGAATGAAAATGGTCTCTCCGGCTAAAAAGTTACATGATGAAGACGAATTTATAGCGATTCCTGGTTTTGCATCTTGCTTTAAATGTTGGAAAACTTATCGTTATATAAATTCAAGTACTACTCACATATATTCTCATAAATGTCCTAAATTATTATCATCAAATCAAACATCTCTTGATCAGCATTTTTTATCAGAATCAAGTCCTCGTAAAACTGATCAACGCACAGTTTCTGTTACAATAGCTATTGCTCGAAGAAAAGAAGAAAGTCTGTGCTCGGTGGATCGCCCATTCAATGCGATCTTTTCCAATTGTTCAAGATCCCGGTTTTAAAGCTGTGATCGACGAATGTCTAAAACTTGGTCAGAGACACTTGCTTAATTTTAAGAAAGTGCGACACAACGTTTTCTTAGTTCAGGTCGAGAATTTGGTTCTGATACAGTGATATCCTCAAATGATATTATTAGCTGTGATCGAACAATTAAAAATGAAATTAAGCGTTTAGCTGCTCATGAAAGATTATTACTGAAGGATCGTTTGGTAAAAGCTGTGAAACATGGTGGCGTGTGCCCAGGTCCACCGTTACGGACTCCGTAAACGATCGTTTACCGTCGTATACGACGCCGTATACGATCATATACATGCCATATACGCTCCGTATACGGTCACGGAGAAATACGGTCGTAATACTGAGCCATGTATTACGGAGGGTGTGGATGCGGGTGTGGAGTATGGATGTGGGTGTCACCTTGAATGTTTTCTTCGCTCACTCCCACGCCCACCACGCCCACCCACACCCACCCACACCTACACCCACACGCACACACCGATACCCACAGCCACGCACCCATACCCACACCCTCAAATCTCTCAATATCGGCTGTCGATTTTTTGGTCCTTAAAGTCCGTCGGGTCGTGTCAGTCACTGCCGGTTCCGTTCACCGGATCTTCACCGAATCTGACTAAAGGAATCAGCCGGAATCCGATTACCAGAAATCGACGGAATCCAACTCACTTTAAAAGAATCCAAAAGTCTGAATCCGGAAAGGACTCGGGAGCCGGTTGTCGTGGGGATTGATCTGATCCGGCAGAATTCGGTTGAGTGGTTTCGACGTGGGATTTTCTGAAAATATACGATTTGACAAAATAATTTATATAGGACGTCTCTTCCTGCTAAAACAACATCGTTTGGTATGGTGAAAACACGACAGAGTATCATCGAAAATTAAAAGTCACCTCTTTGGAGATAATCGACTGAATCGAATATGCATGTGTTCGAAAAGATCAAAATAACGATAGAATTAAGTTTAATTCACAAAAAACCACACAAAGAAAAAATAATATTTGTTTAATCCACTTGCAAAAGGTTCCACTCACGTTCACAGTTTCAAAATAAAAAGTACAAAAGTTTAAATAAATAATTTTTTACCGTTTGATGCAAAACACAGGTAGTAGTTGTTCATGACTACTAATATCTGCATGACTAAAACCAGGAACAACAGAGTTTTTCTGTATTGATGTTGAATAATGTTTGTCTGAGATGGAGTTCAAAGTAGGGTGCTTTCACGCAGGTCCTCCCACTTTATACACGACTTTTTTCAGGCACATTTTAAGCATGCTAGTTTTGTAGCCCTCGTCGAGTTGTATATATCGGTATACTTTTTTCTCTCAGAACTCATGCGCTAAGTCCTCCAGAGACCTCTGAAAATCCAAGTTTTTGCAAAACCAGTGTCGCAAATTAGCAATATTTGGTTCTTACAAACATGATATGAAAATTCTGATGAAGCCATTAGATAGAGCAAAAAAAGTTATCCATGTGCAACAATTTTCGGGTTCATGTCTTAAAATCTAACGGCTCTAGCGTACTTTGAAAAACTCGAAAAATGCGGTTTTTGAAAATCTTGAGTGCTCTAGAAAACCTATAAGGGATCTCGGTAACCCCTATTTATTTATATCAAAATGAAGCTTAGGCAATGGTCATTCGAAATATTTTGATTAGATTTTCTAAATGCATTCCATAGTCGAAATATGCGGCTTGGAAAAACCGGGGATTTCTGAAAACCCTATATTGGATGGCCATTTTATCGGGAACCTTACGTCAGAATTCGCTCAAACTTTTTTTATGGGTAGTCCTTAGTGAGTACTAGCTCTGATTAAAATATAAACTCCCCCATCCTAGAATTGAACAACTTATGAGAACTACATTTTTCAAAAAATTCATCTTTTATAGTTAAGGATTTTTTTACTATAATTGCTGTGGAAATCATTTCAGCTACGAATCTTAGGTAACTTTTTATGCTGAACATAAATACACTAATATCTACGTTCGATTGGTATAAAAAACATTCAATATATCTATATCTATATCTATATATATGTATATATGTATAAAGTGAGGGAGAGAGAACGCAAGAATATAGTAGATGTAAATAGTTTTGTGAGCATTTTTTCTTCTTGTCTAGACTTCATATTTTATTGAACTTTTAAATTAATGAAAATATAAAGTACTGTTGTATGCTTAGAAAGATTTTGCAGTCAAAACTCAGCAAACAACTGTTGAATCTCATCACACAGAGATTGTGTAATTGTGTAATTGAAGCGAGTGCCGAGTTTGGGAGGTTGACAGAGCAAGCATATAACATTTCCCAATTCAATATTGAGCTCATCAGATCGAACCGGAAATTTGAACGATGTTCTCGGACCAGGTGGATGAAGGAAGCTCACTCGCAGTTCCTGTAAATTAGTTTCTAGCGCTTGAACCATTGCTAGCCACCAATCTCCCTGATATTCAACCACCACATAATCATTCATATTAATATCATCGATAGCCATCACAAGCTTCACATATGTCAATTTTGATTGACGTGATGCCATCATAGAAAAATCTTCGTGAATTAGCGAATCGGAAGTAATTTTGCAACGGATTGTAGCACTGTCAATTGGTTGAAAATGGTGGTATGACCTGATACCTATAAATTAAGAGGTAGACAGTTCTTTTCTTTAGTTCTTAAATATCACTTACCAAATATGGGCCCGGTAGAAGGACGAGTTTCAGAGCGTTGAGACAAATATTTGTCAAAATGTTGATTGATATCAGTTTCACTTAGGTACCATATTTGGATCTTCTCTGCATCTATTATATCTACCGTGGTGACGTCCGATGTGTTTGGTGTTGGGTTTTTAGGTTTACTGCAGAATTTCTGCTTTAAAAACTTGTAAAACTCTTCTGGTGTGAGGAAAGACTTTTCCGGACCACCTGCTCGCATAGTTTCACGACGAACAGCACTCTTAACAACGGCCCCTAGGCCATCCACCGGGCCTTTACCGTGGCTTGTCTAAATAGCACAAATAAGTAAGACATAGATCTGGATATGATCTTGAGTAGCTTACTGAGTAAAAAATCCATTCAGCTTTATATTGATAATCCTCATTATGTTTTATCAAATTTAACATTGAAAAGTTATTTTTAAAATGAGCTGAACACCCGTCGCTTAAATACACTATTTTTGTGATTAGTGGATAGAATGTTCTAATATAATCGCATATCATTCGTTGTCCACAAGATACAAATATCGTGTCATGACTTAAATAGTTCGACACTATAACAATATTAACGATCTAAAGAAGAAGACATTTGAATTAATCGACTATCACATTAATACTAATCAAGAATTAATCTAACCTCTATTTTAATTCTAATTTGAATGGTAAATAGTGCAGCTTGCGCAGTTGACCAATGTTTACTCATTACTTCATTCTGTACTTCCAAAGCCTAGAATAAGAGATGAGGTTATTTAATGATCAATATTCTATGTAATTAAAGCACTGGAGGTACAATATTTAGGTTATATTGAAGAAACTTACGTAGTTTTCAGCAAAATCCATGTGGACAAGAGCCGTATCTGGTGGGAGTGACTGCTTTAAATTCCGAATATAATCGAATTGAGCATTTGTTATATAACTATGAGTAATGAATTTTGACCACTGATGATCCATTTCCATCAACAGGTCACTAACTGAGCCACGTAATCGATGGATATCAGTTTTACCATTAAGATTAGCCCATTTCATCCAATTTACTTCTTCTTCCAAGTCAATTTTACAATATAACTTTGGTATTTCAGTTGATGGAATTTTAGTTCTACACGACAGACAATCGCCGTACATGCATGAACTGTTTATTCGAGAGCAAACAATATTGTCTATCAAACTATTTGATTTAATTGATTCTTGTATAACAGTGGAAAAAGCCTAAGAAAGAAATAGGTTAACATTCTAACATTTTAACGTTCTTTCTATAAGTATTTTCTTACCACTAAAAGAAGTCGAAAGTTTTCGTGAAATGGGCATAGACATACATTCTTTTTTATAGATAATTTCACCCACTTAGGACGTAAATAGCAAAATTTGGTGTAGCCAATCTTGTATTCCTCATATTTATTCTTCAAAAATGAAATCAGTGAGTACTTCGACAAAAATATTTATCATTCACAAAGGTTTAAATTCTCCTACATACCTTAAATGACTCGAATGCCTCTTTTAAAGACATGATCAGATATCTACAGCATACGGGCTTTTTCTTGCCATCACTTTGCTTAACATTGATCGTATCTTTTGTATTGGATGAGGATCGACTGATGACGTCATCTAGGAAAAATGCAATTTTGAGCAGTTTATGAGTTCATTTAATCTCATAGTAATCAGTTTACCTTGATAATAAGCTACGACGGCTTCAATTGCGGATGGAGTTATTTTAACACGATCTTGGTTATTTTCATAAGCTGCTAAAACACCACTAGATTCATATAATTCCTTGGCCATGCGGCCTTCCCACTCAGGAACTGAAAAAAATGTTGAAATATCGCGCCTACTCCAAGTTGGTGGACACAGCGTTAACAATCGAATTCGTTCTGCATGATCACTCATCAATACTAATTTTTGTAAACCAGCTACCAAGTGTTCCATATCTTCGTAGCCAATACTATTGTCGTTTGTGGTATCAGCCGTAGAACTACTTGATGAGCTTAATAGAGAGTCTGACAAAATTTTTGTCTTTTTCAGAAGTACTTGACATTTTTCTTGCGCCACGACAGTATGCCGTCTAAAATGTTGAATTGAACCAGAGTATAGAAAGTTTCAAATACTGTATTGGCTAAAACATACGCGTCTTTGATAGGAGATAAACTGAAGACATCTAATAAGCCGTTTAACTGTTCCTTAGCCGTCTTGGAAATAAAATTGCACTTTGTTTCAATGTCAGATGGTGAGGAAATATCTGTTGACGAAATATTGTGCATTAAATCCATCATTGGCTGGTTGTCAGTAACCACGGGTGTACTGTGTGAAAATCCTGACGATGAAGGCGTCTCGATCGGATCAGTTAGCGATATTGATGACAAACATAATCTTTTGTTACTCGGTGTCTCGGAAAGTAAACCAGACGAAATGTTTTGACTATACTCGTCGTCAGATGAAGATACTATACTGTTCTTATTACCAGGTGTTCGGCGCTGTTCTCTAGCAAAACATGTTTCGCATAATAAACTGTCTTCATTGAGAGCCAAAAACTTTCCTTTGTATCGTTTACGAAGATATTTATTGATCGAAGTTGCCATCTGAGCTGTGATACGTCTCTTTCCTTGGGGTACTGAAGATAATACCGCCCCCCGTGAACGACGAGGATGAGCAGTAGGGTGACTACAGCTAGGCATCAATCAATATATCTAAAACAAAAAACATATGATAATACATATACGAACCCCATCATCTTCATTAAAAACGTGAGAAAACCAAGGAGGAAAAAGCGAAAATGTCGTACTCCCATGTACTCCCACGTACTCCCAGTATAAGTTGTAACGATCTTTGAGATTTTTCTAATCACTTAAAGTCTACTGTCGATCTGTGTTACGATGCACTAGCTGGAGTACAGTGAATGTGAGACTGGTGGACAATCAGGCTCAAATACT